AGGAGGAGGAGGATGATGAGGAGGAGCAGGAGCAGGACCAGGAGGAGGAGGAGGAGGAGGAGGAGGCTGGATAATGTGAAGGATAAGGAGGATGCAGGATGGGGAGGGGGGGGGGAGGAGGATGCAGGAAGAGGGGGGGTAAGAGGAAGAGGAGGCGGAAGAGGCGGGGGAGGAGGAGGAGGAGGAGGATGCAGGAGGAGGATTGGGAGGAGGCGGCAGGACGAGGTTAAAGAATGGGGAAGAACGAGGAAGGGTAGAAGGTATGAGGAGAAGGAAACAGAAAAGTAGCGCATGGTGAATATACACAGGACGGCGGGGGCCCGTACAGTCCGTCAGACATGCGAAACACAGGAACGGCAGTGGCTTTCTAAGCCTCTCGGGGGGTGGCGAGAAGTTGCGACCAGTTGCACGGGCGGGGTTGCCACACCTTGCGATCACTCTGGGAATGACGGCGGCGCGGTTACCCGCGGCGCACATGAACGGGGCTGGCCTTCGGGCACTATCAGGGGGCTGAGACCAGTTGCAACAAGTTGCACAGGCAGGGTTGCCACACCTTGCGGTCTGTGTGGAAATGACGGCGGCGCGGTTTATATCGAAGCGGGGTGCTGCGGCGGTTGCGACACCGACTGGGGCGGGGAGCGGCGGCTCATTTTGGAAACAGCGGTCCGCTCAAGAAACGCTGCAGCGTGAGAGCACAACGTCTCCCGCGCCGGCATGGGAGGAGACAAGCCTGCGCCTGTCCTTGTTCAGGAGTCAACACCTCCTGCCCCGGAAGGCTCAAGTGCTCCTGGGGCCCAACTTGTGGCAGCCTCCTGGAGCCTCTTCGGGCACGCTCGTCGTGCTCGCCTGAGACCAACAGACCTAAGCACGCCTAGCCGAGCGTGGCCGGCTCACCGAGCGCGAGGTGCATGCGCTTCGTGATCATGCCCTGCAGGTCCGGGTCGAAGTCGTCCAGCTTCCTCTTGAGCACGTGGGGGGGCTTTTTCAGGAGCTCCACGGTGGCCTGCATCTCCGTCTTCCAGGCGTCGAGGGAAGTTCCAGTGGGTTGCTTCCACATGTCCGCGACGGTGACCACCTTCCCGGGCACGTCGACGCGTGTCACGCGCACCAGGGCCACCTCCTTCCGCGGGAGCGCGAAGTACGCCAACCGGCTTGCGGGCGCAGACGTCACAGTCTCCCACGGCTGGTCCGGGTGGTCGCCGCACGCCTCCGTCACGAAGTTGCGGATCGCGAAGCCGTCGGCGGCGGGCTCCGTCTTCGGCTCCTTGGCGCCGACGATCATCACGAGGATGCCGCTCGCCAGCCGTCGCCCACCGTCACCTGGGAGCGTGATGCTGATGAGGCCAGTGGGGGGCGTCGACGCCCAGGCCAGCTCCGCCGGCACCAGGCGCGCGTCGCTCGGAGGGACGAGGTTGGGCTCGGGCACGTCGAAGTGCCGGCACTGGGCGGCCACGACACTCAGCGACGGCACCGTGCTGTCCTTCGGGGTGTCGAACCGCACGCGCAGGCGCGCCCTCGAGAAAACGAGACTGCCGGCGCTTGCCTGCTCGATGAACTCCTCCTTGTCCTTCGTGTCCGTCAGCGTCAGCGCGACTTTCTCGGTCATATCTGCAGTGGCGGTGTGGGCGAAGTCCGCGACGTCGACCTTGGCCCAGATGCGCGTCTTGTCCTTGTTGAGGAGGTCCTCGGCGCCCGCGCTTTGCAGAGACCAGGGCGCCCGTGATCTCGAAGAGCGTCTGGGATAGGGGCTTCTTGAAGTGCGCGGCGCGCTCCAGGACACCTACGTGAGCGCTGCATGCCGGCCCGCTCCCCCAGTCGCGGCTGCTCTCCCACTTGGACAAGCTCTCCTTGTTCTCCGCCGGCAGAGCTTGCAGGTTGCTTTCACCGAGCGCCCGGGCGATGGGCCTGTCGCCGGACGCCTTCAGCACGAGCGTCTCCTTGCGGGCGGTCAAGTGGATACCCCCGGAGCTCTCCGCCACTAGGTAGGCGCCGTGCACGTACAACGGCTTGAACTTTTCGATATCACTCGCCAGGTGCTGGGTGTCGGGCCGGAAAATGAGCGGCATCTCCTTCCCCGAGGCGTTCGACAGGGTCACCTTGACGTTGGAGTTGCCCTCCGTCGCGCCCGCAGACCCTGAGACTTCCGCAGCGACGGCCGTGACGTCGACGAGCTGGCTGGTCTCCAGCTCGAGCAGGTCGAAGGTGGTCATCGGCGGCTCCGCTTCGGAAGGGATGGCCTTGGCAGCGTCGCCCGTGATCAGCTTGGTGGAGAGCGGCTTGTGCCCCAGATTGAGGACGAAGGGGTGGGGGCACGACTGGAACTGCGGCTTCTTGACCTGCATCTTCATCTTGGTGAACTCGTGCACGGTGTCTTTCTTGTACTTCTTCGTCAACGCATCGACGACCTTGGCGCGCTGCTGCTCCTGTCCGAAGACGACGGCCTCGCCCTTCGTGTACAGCCCAGATTTGGACACCAGCGTGCAAGAGAACACGTGCATGTTTTTGCCCGCCACTTCCCGACTGTCGGGAAAGAGAACGCGGGCTTGCAAAGTCTTGCACGCCGCGTTCGTGTTGTTCACTTGCTCCAGGGGGTCCGACATCGCGCCGCCTTGGCACAGATTAGGAAGCGGAAAGCCAGGGAGAAGGCGAAGTGAGTCGCGCGGCTCGAGCAACAATGGCGCCAGGTCGGGTTGCCACACCGTGCGATTTGGCAGCGCGAGTGCTGAAATGGGGGGCCGCCGCGCTGCCCCCGCCTGCTCCCCCGGGCGGCGAATCGCTGAGCGCTGCAACCCAGCTCGGCCCTGAATATACCGCGTCAGGGGGAAAGGGTGGACATGTTTTTCAAATGTCTCTCCAGCCCGAGAGAACCCGGGGCGGCCGCCGCTCGGGTTGCCGCACCTTGCGATTCGGCCGCGCGCAAGATGAAACTGTAAGGTCGCGTAGACAGATCTCGTCCTGCATTACCCAGCAGCCATGGCGGTCCGGGGTTGCCGTTGCGGGGTTGCCACGCCTTGCGATTGGGCTGCGAAATTACCGCTGGGTAAGGAGAGGGAACACATGTTGGTCGGAATGACCCCCTCCCCCCCTCCTGAGAGGACCTGGGGATGCCGCCGCTCGGGCGGCCGAGCCTTGCGATTCGGCGGCGCGACCGATGACGCGACATGGTTGCGTAGAGTCCTCTGGGGGGAAGTGAAAGCGCGACGCTGGCTCCGCAGTTGCGCCCCCTGGCGCCCAATGGCCGGGCGCGGCCACCTCCCTGGGCGCCCCAGAGTACTTCGAGGAAGGGAGGGGGTTGAAATGTTGTCCTGAAGCGCTACTCAGCCCGAGAGGACCCAGGTGCGCCGTCGCCAGGGTTGCCACACCTTGCGATTCAAATACGCGCATTATGCAACATGATCTGATAAGATATGTTGGCAGTCCGAGTGAGGAGGCCGGAATGTTTTCTCTCTGGCCCGCGGTCGCCCCACGCCCTGGGGTGGCGAATTATGGCGTGCGTTCGGCTGCGGCGTGGCGCCGAGGCACCTGGCCGCGCCGCTCGCGCGGCGTGCTCCGCGCGAGCGGCTACTGCTTTGCCACTGGCTTCACTTTCTGGGAAGATGCCACGGGGCGTTTCTTGAGCGATGCGCGGGCCAGGCGCCGACACCACTCCCCGCTCGCGTCATATCCTGCGTTCCAGGCGGTAAGATCACGCGTGTGCTGCAATCCGTACAAATGCTTGAGGCCGCCCATCTTCTTCGGCGGTAGCCGGAGAACTCGCAGGCCACTGCGCTTGCGCACGCGGGAAACGTCGACGTAGAACCCTTTCAAGTCCAGATGAGGCGGAAAAGGCCGCGGCGCAATGCTAAGGATGAGCTCGTCCTTGGTCTTCCCCTGCAGCTTATAGTCCGTGACGGCGAAGGCAAGCGTGATCGCGTGGCCGCGGTAGCGGACAGATTTGGGCATGGCCTTCAGGCATGAGAACAAAGACGTCATGTCATGCCCTTGCATGTGCCTGCTGCAGAGAATAGGCACCACCACGGCATCGTCAACGAGGCTCTCGATTCCTGCGCCATCGTCGCCGTCTGGAAGCACGAGTTGGACATTGACGCTGAGCGGGGGCACGTCCAACACAGTTCTGCGATGCCCGGCGGCGGCGGCGCCTCTGCGGCAGCTCGTCAAAGCGGGCGGAGCCAGGGGGGGTGCAACCCCGGCAGTGCTTCGTCGGAGGCGGGGCTACGGATGGCAGCCCCTCCAATGAAACGCGCCGCCCTCTTGTCTCACGCTCGTTTTGACTGCCGCCAACCTGCGCCCATGTCTTCCTCGAGCTCGCCCTGCGCAGTGACTGAGTGCATGCACCCGCAGGCCGCGTTGACCAAGAACTTTTAGGCTGAATGTTTTCAGTGAGCATGGCTGGCGCGCCTCAGACGAAAATACCCCCATAGCCCTGGCTCGTTCTCGTAGAGCTCGTCGAGGTCCGCGCCGTCAAGGAGTTCGGCTGCCTTGCCAGTCAGAGGGAGCTTCCAGGTCAAAAGGGGTAGCTGGAACGCCCTCGCAAACGCCTCCACCTGCAAGCGATTCAGTTTGCGCCGCTCGAAGTTGGACAGGACCGCAATGGTGGCAGAAGCCCGAGCCGGGTTTGTCTGGACGTCTCGCAGAAACTTCTTACAAATGGTTGACCAACGAACATGGCACTGGCGTTGGACAGCTCGTGTGGCGTAACTGCAGCAACTCCTTTTGAAAGGCCGGGTCGTCGGCGGCTCGCATCTGCTGCGTCAGGACAGTTCTGCGCGCCTGATGGCCGACCAGACCGCCCTCGCCCAGCCCGACGCCCCTCCCTCGTCTGATGGGGAATGTTTCCAAGCCGCCAGACAGAAACTGGAAGTCCCCAGGATGGGCCCATCGCAAGCGTACAGGTTTGGGCTCAGGGTTGGGCTAGGGCGGCATGGCCAGCCACGAGAGCCTGTCGGAAGAACTCCAACCCCTTGGCCGTCGTGCTGGTCGGGTCGAGCGGCCCAGTCCCTCGCATCAGTTCGGGCACCTCCGTCGCGGCGAGCTGCTCGGCCATGGAGACGCCACCAGGCGGCGGCTTCTGCCAGAAATCGCCAGTCAGAATGATGGCAATCCCGCCGAACGGAGCGTCAGGTTCGCCCAGGAGGCGTCTTAGCTGCGTGTCGACGAGGCTGAGGGCCTGGGCGACCAGGAAGGAACACTCATCGATGACGAGAACCAGCAAGTCCCGCGGGCGGCAGACAGCTTGAGTGAAGTCCGCTCGGAGAGCCTGCAGCGCATCGTCCGTCATGCGCGCCGCGCCGGCCATGTTCGCGAAATCGATCTTCAAGAGAGAACACAGCGTGGGGGGCCCGAAGGGCGCAGACGCGACGCCCGTCCATGCCGTGACGACCATGACGCCCAGCCTCCGCTCTGCGATAGTGGTCTTCAGAGCCTCCAAGAGGACGCTTTTGCCGACGCCGCCAGCGCCCTGGGGCAAATGTATCTGGGACAAGCCCGCAGCCGCCAAACTCTCCGCAGCGTTGGCGCGCGGTTGGTTGGCCGCCCGCGCCTGCGCCAAGTGCTGCTGCACGGACAGGTGGTCCCTGGCGAACTGGCGCTGCGGGGGGTTCAGAGGAGGGGGCGGCCTTGGCGCCCCTGCGAGGAGCACGCCGCACTGTCGCTTCCATTCGGCCACCTCCACCGCAAACTCCTGCTGAGTGATGTCTGCGAAAGCCGGCGGGACGGACCCGCCGTCAGCGACAAGGCGGTTCGCGGCCTCTCGCGGGGACGGGAGCGCCGCCATGTCCTGAGAGCGAGGATTGGCAATCGTCTGCAGCACCGCGGCCATGCGGCCCCCGTCCTCCTGGAATCCCATGGTCGCGCGGCCCGTCGGCGACGGGGCGTCAGCAGGCCAAGTGGGCGAGGTCGTGCTCGAGGAAGCCGCCTGAGAAAGTCGCCGTAGAGAGGCAAAGTTGTCGTCGCCCCACGACTCTGCCTGCGCGGCGCGATTGATACATCGAGCGTCAGCCCTGCGGGCGGCCCGGGCCTTGATATCTGCAATGTCATCCGCTGCCTTCCTGGACGTCGCGTCTGGCCCAGCGGCGGGGTCATCTGCAGCAGCGCTGAGGTGGTCGTCTCTCCATAGCGTCCGGTTGCGACATCGCCAGGCGTTCATAGTCTTTGCCTGACTTGTGCTCGAGGCGAGTGCCTGGGAAACCTGCTCTATTCGAAACAGGCGCCCCTGGGCGATGCGAGTGTGGACGTCCTCCTGGGCAGGGGTCTTCCGGCGCATTCGCGTGGAAGCGGGCGGGGCCCCCGCGGCATCGGAGTCCAAGCGGCCAAGGAAAGCCTGCCAACCTGCGGGCGCGATGTCTACTCCAGACGCGGTGCTCGCATGCCATGGGGAGAACACGGCCATGAAGTAATCTGCGTGCAGACGCTCCTTGCGCTGCCGCGCCATCGTCTGCTTCCCCCTGGCATGGTCCAGTACAGGAGGGAGCCGCGGCGGTGGCTGCCCAACAAAAATGGGAACGTCAAATTTGGCCTTGGCTTTGATTTCGTACTCAGCCGCCAACGGGTGGGGCTCCAGGAGCTCGCAGGTAGCATTCGGGCGTCTGCCAGGCTTCTGGCTTCGCTCGTCTGCCCTGGACATCTTCGCCACCTGCATGGACATGACGAACTCGTCAAAGGTCAGAGGCAACAGCTGCAAGGATCGGTAAGCATAGTGCTCTGCTTGTGAGACTGCGATGGACTCGCCGTTGGTCGTCTTGTAGATGCTGCAAGTGCCCTGGCGGACAGGTGCGTCCACGTGCTCCGCCGCGTCGACCACGTCCGGGGGGCCCCCGTGGGCGGCATCTCCCGTTGAGCCGCACTCCGACGCGGGAGTCGCCGAGGAGGCCTTGCCGGCCGCCGGGGAGGCGGAGGCTGTAGACAGCAAGGCACCGCCGCGCTGGAGCTCTTGCAGCAGGTGCACCGCGTCCCAAACGTACGAGTTCACGAAGCTGTGAGAGTGCCCGCTGGAAGACACGCCCATGGCGATGGCGGCAGCTTGAGCGGGCGCTAGCTCCGTGGCAGCCGAGTTGAGCACGCGCTGCAAGAAGTGCTTCGCTGCTCTGTCGCCCGTGTCACCGTCGATGGCGCTGGAAGAGTAGCGATCGATGTGGTCGCGAGCGTCTGCGAGGACGGACAGGGAGGCAGCCAACTCGCACGCGTCCTTGACCATGTACTTGCACATGTACATGCCCGCGGCCTTCGCAGAGTCCCCAGCGCCCAGGAGCAGCGGCGCTGTGTTGGAGCCCAAAGACCCAGAGAGGACGGGGCAGTATTCAACCAACCATGCGTTCCGGCACGACATGCCGCGCCAAGCCCGGATCAATTTGAGGGCCTCCTCGTTGGAGCAATCGCGCATGCGATCGCCAAGAGCGGGAGGGAGTTCGCGCCGCTCCAAGAGGTAACGCAGCTCGTCCCTGACGGAGCCGACTAAGCGGAGCGCCTCGGAGCCGGCCATGGCCTCAGCGTCAGCCTCAGAGAGGCCCATGACATGCTGAAGAGTCGGGAACGAGGTGCTGTCCGGAGCGATGCGTGGTCTGCAGAGCTCGTAAGACAAACAGGCGGCAGCGCCGCTGTCGTGCCGCGGCGCTGCACGTCGAGTCCAGAATCGGGACGGCGCTCGGCAGTCGGCGCACGCCCATTGCACGCGCCCGCCTGGAGTAGCCATGGCCTGGTCGGCACCAGGGTCGTCTGCATCGGGGTTGGCAAGCTCGCCGGCGAGCGCGCGCGTCTCGGGCACTGGGTGTCCTGCGGGCCGGGCCATCCTGCATCCATCTTTTCCTGATGCCCCCTTGTGGCACGTGCTGGCGTGCTGGTGGAAGCCGGTGGTGGCGGCTGTGATGGCAGCGCCGATGTCGAAGGAAAGGCTGTCAGCATCGCTGAGCACCTGGCGCGTTTGGAAATACGGCAGCTTCGCGGCGGGGACGCGGAGCAGACGGCGAGAGAGGTCCAGGGCGTGGATCTCCGGGGAAACGTAGGCGCGGTACACGGTATCCAACGCCTGGCACACCACAGTCTCCAGCGCTGGGAAGCCCGCGACGTCGGCCAAGAGCTCCGGGGTGGCGCCCGCGTGAACGGAGGCGTGGAAATGGAAAGACTTTCGCTGGTTGGTTTCGTGGACGAAGCTCCATCCGAACGGCGTCCCCAGGAAGCCTTTTGGGGCGTCCTCCGCGCCGACGCTCTTTTTCCTGCGGTGGTTCGGCGGTAGGGCCACGAGCTCCGTGAAAATGGCTTCAGACATCTGCTCGTAGACGAGGGTGGTGGCCACCGGGTTCATGGTCGCAAGTGTCTGCAGGAAGGCCTCGTCCAGGTCGAACTTGTACGTTGCGTCAGGCGAGCATGCCAGGGACTCCTCGCAAAGTCTCTGCACGGCGTCCTCAGGCGCCTCTCCGCGAAGCACGGGTAGTAGAGCGTCCGGACTCGAAGGGAAGACGTCGGCCTTTCCAGCGCGGTAGCTCAGCTGGATCGCCTTGCAAGGGGCATCTACGCTGACGCCGCCGTCAACACCTCCGCCGATGACCCCCTGCCGCCCGAGGCTGCGGAGCACAGACGCCATGACGCACTGTCGCCGACGCGACCCAGGCGCGGGCCGGCAGGGGGGTCGGCGGAGGAGCATCGCGCTGCGATGGGCGACAGCGGCTTCGCACAGACGCCCCCCTCCTTCGGTTGGTGGACGTCGTCGGGGGCGCACGTGAGGAAGGCGGAGGCGGGGCCGAAGCGACGCCACATTGCATACAGTTTCGTAATCTCGCCTGCTCGTTCATCTCCGCTCCATGGCACCACCTTGCCCGCGGATGCCGTGAACCGCAAGACTTGCTTCAACAAGTCTCTGGCGCTCTTGCTCGCGGGGTCCTCCTTGGCAACGCGCAAGCGCTCGAGGTGCGCGTCCTTGTCGGCCATCATGTTCGCGAACGTCTGGAAACTGTCCGGATCAGTCTTCACGCGGACGCCGACCCCCTTCGCGGCAGCGTGTCTTTGGACTTGGTTGGCAAGCAAGAAGAGTAAACTTGGCTGCTGCGCGAAGCTGTTGTGGAATTGCGTGAGCAGGTGGCGGGAGTCGTGGGCGCCCACCGAACCTTTGGAGCGGAGGCCCTGGCGCAGTGGGAATAGGTGCCAGAATGCCCCGTACAGGATGTCGCCGTTGTTCGTGAACTCGTTCATGGGCCGCAACTCCCGCGCGCAGGGGCGCTCCCGCAGCGAGGCAGTGGCGCCGTTCGAAGACTTCATAGCCTTTGCGAGCGGAGCGGAAGAATCGTCGCCAGGGTGCCCGCTCCCCTCGCGCAGAACGTCCATGAGACCATCGAAAATGGTGCCGCGGGTCGGTGGTGCGCGCGATCACGCCCACGGGGTCAAGGGCGACAGGCGGCGCCGGATCCCCACCTGCAGACGTGGAGAAGTGCATGGCCTGAAGGTCGTCGCGCATAGCCACATCTCTGACGTTTGCCACGTCAGATGGTAGACTGGCTTGTTCCACGGCGTCGTCGACTACGCAGCGAGCCTGCGCGGCCAGCCGGTCGTGCAGCGACGCGAGCAGGCGTCCAAGCTCGTCGACTGAAGGCAATGCCATGTCGGAGACGTGCTCGAGAGCTTGTCGCAGCGCGAGGTGGTTGTACAAGACGTGAGGGCGCGTTTGCATTGCCGGCGCAGAGAGTGCCCGACGCTCCAGGCCCGTAGTCTTCCCGTCGGGGCCAACGAACAACAGCTGCACATTCGCCAAGATGTTTGCCAAACGAGCTTCGTCGAAGTGTTTGCCCAATGCGGCCGGCCCGTCCTGGAGGAAAGATATCATGTGTCCCCGGAGCACCGTGCGGGGCGCCACCGTGGCGCGTCGCTGCGGCACGTGTACCTTCGCCACAAGACTGCACGCGCGAACGTCAGCCAGAGCAAGAGCCTCAAGCTCGGAAGGAGCGTCCAGGCCCAGCCGACACAATAGTCCAAAGTCAACGCCTGCTGCAATTGCGAAGGGCGGCGGGGAAGCACCTTTGTTGACGGCCGCTCGATGGCACACAGGGCGCAGGAACACGAAGTGTGGGCCCTGACCGTCAACGTTGACCAACTCTGGGTGGACGTGGAAATGGTTGCCTCGAGGGTCCCGCCAGTAGCTCCTCAGCAACGCTGTATGGACGACGCGGGACGCGCCGTCCGCATTGGCCATGTCGACCGCGGGCATGTCGTTCAGCGCTTGCATGTCGGCGTCGGAGTACCGGATCCAGTGATCATGTGGAAGAGACTCTAAAGAGCACTTCTCCTCGGCGGGGTGCTGGGGTCCCTGCGGCCGCGAGTCCCGCATCCTGGCAGGAGAGCGTCGTGGGACATTGCGTCGGCATAAGAGGAGACCAGCCTGCGCTCGTCGGCCTCCGTGACAGAGCAGTACCGGACCACGTCATCTGCGATCCGTTGCTTCAGGTGGTCTGCAGGGGGGGCAGCTTCGGACGCGGCGCGGAGGCGCCAAGAGTTCCTGGAGACCTTGTAGCCGGATTCGTCGTGATGGCGGTCCAGCAAGGCAAAAGCGTCATCAGACTGAGCGGCGTGGAGGGCACGGCGCGTCCTGTGGCGTTCGCTCTCCCGCTGGCGGACGTGCGGTTCCTTCTGGTACTCCTTCTGTCGCTGGCGGACGCGTGGGTCCTGACGATGCGTCCTCATGCGGGCAGCATCGGCTGCAGGCCCCAGTCGCAGTGCGGAGTAGTGTTCCTGGCCCCTCCTGCGCTCGTCCAACTACAAGTACACCGGGTCTGCGGGGTTGGACTCATCGCACCCAGGAGGTATGAGGACGGTCGGCCGTTGAGTGGACTCGCGCCTCCAGACGGCGATAGGTCGGCCGAGAAGCCTGCACGCAGCTTGTAGTGAGACGTTGTCCCCCCAAGCACCGTTGGCTGCTTGGCGTAACCAGGCGGAAAGTTTCCTCGGTTGGTTGGGCCCCGTGAAGAAGTCGAGGAAGTAGCCTCGGTGGGTGCCGACATGTTCGACCACCTGCTGTCGCATCCGAGCGTGCCCTTCAAATCCGTTACCTCGGCCTCGACGATGCATGGACATGGAGCGGTACTGGCAGTGACCGTCCCCTGGAATCTCTACTCGTTGAAGCATGTGTCGGACTCCTTCGAGCTGCTGAGATAGAACGGCCGCCATCGCCTCTGCAGCTGCCTGTGTGCGGGGGGGGAGATTCTATGTGCAACATGGGGTCCCTGTTTAGGGTGAGTGGGGGCTTCTGCAAAGGAAGAAACACATGGCGTGCAGGAGCTGGGAAGAAGCACGGGTAGAGTTGCCACGCATTGCGATATGGTTGATTGGGAGAGCGATACAGTTTAGAATCAAACAGGCCGCTGGTGTAGTCTGTGTGCACGAAAAGGGTTGCCACACCTTGCGATGTCGCTGGGCTCGTGGGATTGCGGGTGGGGTGGCCAGGCCAAGGTTGCCACACTTTGCGATGCGCTGAACGGGAAGGATGCGCGGCTTGTTTCGAAGAAGATTGCAACTCGAGTGTTTGCGCAGCAGGGGTTGCCACACCTTGCGACTTGCTCGATACAGAGTCGACTCGGTTGAGGTGGAGGAGGATTGCGACTGAAGGACGCTGAGGCAATGGCCTCATCCATCGCCCCTGGTGGCTGGGCGCCGCGACGCACAACAAGGGTAAGCCAAACGACTACGGAGATGAGGAATGAGAGAAGGTCTGTGGGGGGAGAACTGAGGATGGAGACGGAGACTGAGAAATCGGCGGCCCAACGGGCCAGAGGCGTGCTTGGGTCTGTTGGTGGTTAACAGTATGTCTAGTTCGAGTGCGCGGAGCGGCCCGTGGGTGTCACCGAGCGAACAATACCCCAGGAGCACCCTGGGCGCACCCTGTGGGAAAAGTACCCCAGGCCCGGGCCAAAAGTACCCCGATCGCAGCCCGCGCGAGGCCTCCCGAATGGGCGTGTTGTCCACGATTACGTTTGGCCTCGAAATGCCCGAAGAAGCCAGCGAAAGGCCTCCTCCTCGAAGCCATCTAGAGGCCTCCTCCTCATCCTCATGCCCTCCTCTTCCTCCTCCTGTCCCTCCTCATGCGTCTGGCACGCCACAATCACACGAACATATAGCACCCGTGATGCAAGATGGGCTGGCGGAGTGAGCGAAGCGATTAACAAGAGAAGTGCAAGCCGGATTCCCACCAGCCGATTTGTGTCACTAGATGTGGAGGGACAAAGAAGGACGAGAAGAGGAGGAGGAGGAGGAGGAGGAGGAGGAGGAGGAGGAGGAGGATAGCTGCTGGGAGTGAAAAGCAATAGCGGGGTCGCACTCGAGCGCAAGTGGCGTTGCCATACCTTGCGATGTGTGTAGCAGGGGCCCCCAGGAAGCCTAGGAGGCCCGACGAGGAAGCCGGAAGAGGCTCCAGCTGGCTCGCCACAAGCACACGAACATATAGCACCAGTGATGCAAGATGGGCTTGCGGAGTGAGCGAAGCGAATAACAAGAAAAGTGCAAGCACGATTCCCACCAGACGATTTGTGTCACTAGATGTGTAGTGAAATGCAATAGCGAGGTCGCACTCGAGCGCAAGTGGGGTTGCCACACCTTGCGATGTGTGTAGCAAGGGCCCCCAAGGAAGCCTCAGGAGGCCCGACCAGGATGCCGGAAGAGGCTCCAGGAGGCCCCAGGATTCTGAGGAAGGTGTGGGTGTGTGTGATGTGTGCTCTGTGCTATTCGTGTTTTCTGTGCGTGTTTTGTGTGCAGGAGGCCGCAGGAGGCCCCAGGAGGCTCGAGGTACTCCAGGAGGTACGACGACGAGGCCGCCGAGGCCGCAGGAGGCCCTCTGTGCTGTACTCCGTTGGAGGGGTGCCTCTGACTCCCTCGGAAAGGTGCGGTCTGGGGTACCACAGGGTACGTCGGGGCTCGCTCGGACTCGAGCGCAAGTGGGGTTGCCACACCTTGCGATGTGTGTAGCAAGGGCCCCCAAGGAAGCCTCAGGAGGCCCGACCAGGATGCCGGAAGAGGCTCCAGGAGGCCCCAGGATTCTGAGGAAGGTGTGGGTGTGTGTGATGTGTGCTCTGTGCTATTCGTGTTTTCTGTGCGTGTTTTGTGTGCAGGAGGCCGCAGGAGGCCCCAGGAGGCTCGAGGTACTCCAGGAGGTACGACGACGAGGCCGCCGAGGCCGCAGGAGGCCCTCTGTGCTGTACTCCGTTGGAGGGGTGCCTCTGACTCCCTCGGAAAGGTGCGGTCTGGGGTACCACAGGGTACGTCGGGGCTCGCTCGGGGCTCGATTTTGGGAGGATGTCTCAGGCGAAACCGCCATTCTCTGAGAATCGGGGTCAAAATCAGTGAAATTACAATCATTCTCTGAGAATCGGGGTCAAAATCAGTGAAATTACAATGTGTTCTGGAAGGTGTTATGTCAGAATGTTGAATTTCCCATGTGTTTTTGGACCCTGACGTCGCGATCTGCGTGAGGGGTGCCACCGATTTTCAGAATTTCGAGGATGTCCCGAGCGAAACGCCCAGAAAAATCGCGAACGCGTGCGCATTAATCGCCTCTGAGCTCTACTCCCTCGGAGAGGTGCGTATGAGAATCTCTCTCTCTCTCTCTCTCTATATATATATATATATATATATATATATATATATATATATGTATACACGCATACACACACCTTTGGCTTTCATAGCATCCAGGCCCCCAAGATTGCCCCACAGGCTCCCGAGAGGGCTCCAAGACGACCCCAAGACGGTCCCAACACGGCCCGAGGCCCCCAAGACAGCCCAAGAGGGCCCCGAGACGAGCCCCAGAGGGGTCCCAGAGGTGCAAGGCCATATTCAAATTCCGAGCTTTCGGCCCTGGAGGCTCCCAGGAGGCCCCACGAGGTCCCCAGGAGGCCCCAAGAGGCGCCCAAGAGGCCCCGAGAGGCCCCCCAGAGACTCCCAGGAGGCTCCCAAGAGGCCTCCAGGAGGCCCCCAGGAGGGCCCCAAGAGGCAAAATTCGCTGCATGTCCTTCAGAAAACGTACATGTTGCGCATATGTACCTCTTTGGCTTTCACAGCGTCCGAGACGGCCCAAGAGGCCCCCAAGACTGCCCCACAGGCTCCCAAGAGGGCTCCAAGACGACCCCAAGACGGCCCGAGAGGCCCCCAAGACAGCCCAAGAGGGCTCCAGGACGAGCCCCAGAGGGGTCCCAGAGGTGCACAACCATATTCAAATTCCGATCTTTCGGCTCCAGAGGCCTCCAGGAGGCCTCAAGAGGTTCCCAAAAGGCCCCAAGAGGCGCCCAATCCATAGCCATTTTGGCTCAAGCCACCAGGGCTTAAATTATCCCGGCAAAGCAACCTAACAGCGATGTGTAGAAGCATATCTGAAAGCATTCCCCTTAAGATTCAGATGAAAATCCAGTTGTCGAATTCTGCTGTTCTCGCAGTCGTAGTCGCATTCGCGATGACAGTCGCAGCGGCAACGGCAGTCGCAGTCACAGCCTCAGCCTCAGCCTGCCTCCTCCTCCTCCTCTTTTCTCCTGCTCCTCCTCCTCCTCCTCCTCCTCCTCCTTCCTCCTGCTCGTCCTCGTTCTCGTCCTCCTCGTCTTGCTCGTCCTCCTCCTCCTGGTGCTCTCTCCTCCTCCTCCTCCTCCTCCTCCTCCTCCTCCTCCTCCTCCTGGTGGTCCTCGTTCTCCTCCTCCTGGTGCTCTCCCCCCCCCTCCTCCTCCTCGTCCTCCTCCTCCTCCTCCTCCTCCTCGTCCTCCTCCTCCTCTTCCTCCTCCTCCTCCTCCTCCTCCTCCTCCTCCTCCTCCTCCTCCTCCTCCTCCTCCTCCTCCTGGTAGTCCTCCCCCTCCCCTCCTCCTCCTCCTCCTCCTCCTCTTCCTGGTCGTCCTCGTTCTCGTCCTCCTCGTCTTGCTCGTCCTTCTCCTCCTGGTGTTCTCTCCTCCTCCTCCTCCTCCTCCTCCTCCTCCTCCTGGTGGTCCTCGTTCTCCTCCTCCTGGTACTCTCCCCCCCCCCTCCTCCTCCTCCTCCTCGTCCTCGTCCTCCTCCTCCTCCTCCTCCTCTTCCTCCTCCTCCTCCTCCTCCTCCTCCTCCTCCTCCTCCTCCTCCTCCTGGTACTCCTCCCCCTCCCCTCCTCCTCCTCCTCCTCCTCCTCCTCTTCCTGGTCGTCCTCCTCCTCCTGGTCGTCCTCCTCCTCCTGCTCGTCCTCCTCCTCCTCCTGCTCGTCCTTCTTCTCCTGCTCCTCCTGCTCCTCGTCCTGCTCCTGCTCGTCCTCGTCCTCCTGGTCTTGCTCGTCCTCCTCCTCGTCGTGCTCTTGCCCCTGCTGAAAATGTGGCCCAGGAATGGGAGTTCTGGGAAGTCGAAGAGCACGAAGTTGCCTACAGTTGGCTACGGGCATTCAAAATGTGGCCCGGGAATGGAGTTCTGGGAACTCGAAGAGCACGAAGTGGCCTACAGTTGGCTCCGGGCATTCAAAATGTGGCCCGGGAATGGAGTTCTGGGAAATCGAAGAGCACGAAGTGGCCTACAGTTGGCTCCGGGCATTCAAAATGTGGCCCGGGAATGGAGTTCTGGGAAATAGAAGAGCACGAAGTGGCCTACAGTTGGCTCCGGGCATCCAAAATGTGGCCCGGGAATGGCGTTCTGGGAACTCGAAGAGCACGAAGTGTGTGACTGTTGCATCCGGCCCCCCAGAATGTGGCCCGGGAATGGCGTTCTGGGATGTCGAAGAGCACTTTGTGTGTGACTGTTGCATCCGGCCCCCCAGAATGTGGCCTGGGAATGGAGTTCTGGGAAGGCGAAGAGCACGAAGTGTGTGACTGTTGGTGAAAAACGAGCCCGGCTCATGCCGCCCGGAAACGCCCCAACACCTGCCCGGACCCCCCTGTGGAGTGATCTGTGAGCTCTTTTGATCCCACTAGAAACCTATCAGTCTTCGCTGTTAGGTAAATACTATTTCTAGCTCCTCCCCACTGCCGAACGAAACCAGCGCCAGGGCCACTCTCCCTTCCTCGGCGGCCTCGGGCGCATATGCGGCAAGCGCTGCGCGGGCCGCTCCTAGGCTGTGCTTTTGTCACGGCCGCCGCCAGCGGCCTCTCGGGCGCCACCCGCTCGTCGCTGGGCCTCGCCGGGACGGCGCCATCAGCGCCAGAGGACCGGGCCGAGGTCCACGCGGAGGCCTGCGCCGCGGGCGGCGCCGCGGGCGCCCGCGCCGCGGGGCCCAGCGGGCCCGGGGCCCCGGCCGAGCGGCGCCGTGGCGAGCGGGGCGGGCACTGCTGGGCACTCTGGGCGCGGGGCGAGGAGCAGTCCAGCCAGGTCGTGAACGCCAGGGACAGCACCGCGGTGGGCCCCTGGGCCACCGACGCTGCCGGCGCGGAGGTCCCGGCCTGGATGCTCTGCGCGGAGGAGCTCACGCGGCGCGCCCTGCTGTCCCCGAGCTGCGCGGAGGGGGCCTGCGCGTGCACCCAGCTGGGTCGCACCAGTTGCTCGTGTCGTGCGGTCATGGCCGCGTCGCGGGCGCGGCTCATGCTGAAGCACGCAGAGTGGCTCGCCGACCACGGCCACGCCAGGGGCGCGGAGGTCCGCTTCCAGGAGGCCAGCCGTGAGGCGGCGGAGCACGGCCAGGCGGCGCTCGTACACAGAGCCTCTGCGCGGT